TTATTTTGGTTTGTCATTTTAATTATGAAAATAATTATTTTGACATAAACTATTTAAAGTATATTTTTATACTTGTTTAAAAAATGATATTGGTATTTTATTTGATTTAAAATTAATTTTATATTAATTTTTGGTGTCAAATAAAATACACTTTGAACATTTGAGTGGAGAAGAGTTTTGAAAATCCTTCTCAATCTAACTTTCGGCCATTTGGGATTGAGGAGAATCAAAGTTTTCTTTGATTGATTTTTACGTGGGCTAATTAGTTTTGTCATTTAGCTAATGACAAAAGTTAATCACATCTTTGTTTTATTTAAATTATTCATGCCATAAGTCACTTTGGGTATTGGATCACTCTTTGAAAAAAATATTTCGGCCATATTTTAGAGAGAGAAGAAATGCTATTCTAAGTGTTCCATTAATATCATTTGTGTATAGAAAATATCTATAATATTTTCTAAATATTATTAGAAATATTTTCTATAGAAATATACAAGATTATTATTATCCCAAATTTTAATCTTTATATTTTATACTACTATAATCTTTACTAGCATAAAGATTGTGGTAGACTCCGGCGTTGTTCGTGTGTCAAAGTTGGAGACCGGACGCTTGAACGGTTACGTTTGCACTTTCAACGCTCTTCCTACAACTTCTTCGTTTTTACCGCTTACGGAGAAAGTCATAAATTTCTTACTACTATATGTTTTAGTGCGTGATTCTGGGCAAGATAATCATGTTAGGATGTTAAAATTTTTATATTCTGCTGCCTATCCTTGCATGGTTACCTTTCAGTTAACACCCTTTGATACCATCCTTCTAGCAATTAGCTTCTTTCGATCTGCCCATCTTGCACCACGGTAGAAACACCAGCGGGACACGCCGCCCGACCTCTTCCTGCCAGGAAGACTTTCGACACAAGACATAAACCGAAGATTTCCACTCCGCTAGACCACCGGTCTACTCAAGTCCTTTTCCTGCACCATACTTCACAAAGCCGGCATGCCGCTTCGTACCCGGTTCCCATGCCATCCACTTTGTTCCTGAAGTTCCATGGTCGCCTTCTGGGCCAAAACCGACCAATCCCTGGGTTCTTAAAATTTCTTCTTTTCCTGCTTACAAATCCCTTCTGCCCAGCGCAACCAGGCTCTAATACCAATTGTTGGGATTTTAAGCGCGTAAGACACCAAAAATATTAAGAACTCTAGAAAAATGAGATATTAAACACAAGAAGAATATATGAGAGAGAAAAATTATATTTCCACTCTTTCAAGACAATATACAAAAAAACTCTCTCCTGTTTACAAGGCTAAATTCCAGACACTCATAAACAGATATTTCCACATCCTATGCACGGATGTATTTTTTTGAGTAACTAAATACCAGCTACTCCCTACACTCATCAACGCTCACCAAGACCCCTTGGATTTTCCCGATGGTATTGTTGTGTAGAACCCTCCCATGTTTCTCTCTCTACCTTGGTGGTGTGTTGAAAACCACACACACACACATACCACTCACTCTTCATGGTTTTATACCCAAATGAGATCATGCCAACACTAAGAGCCAAAAAAGGATGACACATCCTTAGATTTCAACCAAAAGCAAAGAAGGCCACACACATGCATCCGTATCCACCATCTTAGTTCGTTTCCTCTTGCTTTCTTTTGAGTTCTCTTTCTTCTTCTTCTTTTTTTTCTTTTCTTTTTCTTTCTTTTTGAATATTTAATCAATATTTCCAACAAACAATTAGAATGTTAAACCAAACACAATTTGCTATCAATATCCACTACTTTGTCTTCTAGTAATGATTGCATTATTTTTACTTGAAAAATATTAAAGACTTTGTACTGGCATGCCGGCTTTGTGAAGTATGGTGCAGGAAAAGGACTTGAGTAGACCGGTGGTCTAGCGGAGTGGAAATCTTCAGTTTATGTCTTGTGTCGAAAGTCTTCCTGGCAGGAAGAGGTCGGGCGGCGTGTCCCGTAGGTATTTCTACGGTGGTGCAAGATGGGCAGATCGAAAGAAGCTAATTGCTAGAGGGATGTTCTCAAAGAGTGTTAACAAAGGTGAGTTGTAATTTTTTAGCTCAGGGTGGAGGGTTAAAACCTTAATGAGCTAAGGTAGTGGCGGTGATCTTGACGGGTTGGTTGAGATGGAGCCACGGGTACAACGATAACTGAAAATGGTGAGGACCTTGTCGTATTGAGCAAGGTGAAGCTACGACCATGAGTCAACACATGGTGGCGGAGAGCTTGCAGTATTGAGCAAGATAAGGTCATGAAAATTTTTTCAAAGTAGTAGTGATCTTGGTGGTTGGACCAAGGTGGAGCCACGAGGATTTTTTTTTCTTTTTTGAGGTTGGCAGCAATGATCTTGGTGGAGCAGATCGAGATGGCGCCAAGGATATTTTTTTCTTTCACAGTAGCGGTGATCTCACCGGAGAAGTAAGATGTAGCTACAAAGTTTTTTGATTACTTAATCAAAGTGTAGTTTGTCGGAAAATATTGATTAAATATTCAAAAAGAAAGAAAAAGAAAAGAAAAAAAGAAGAAGAAAGAAAACTCAAAAGAAAGCAAGAGGAAATGAATAAAGGTGGAGGATATGGATGCATATGCATGGCCTTCTGTGCTTTTGGTTGAAATCAAAGAATGTGTCATACTTTTTGCCTCTTAGTGTTGGCATGATCTCATTTGGGTATAAAGCCATGAAGAGTGAGTGGTATGTATGTGTGGTTTTCAACACACCACCAAGGTAGAGAGAGAGAAACATGGGAGGGTTCTACACAACAATACCACCGGGAAAATCCAAGGGGTCTTGGTGAGCGTGGATGAGTGTACGAAGTAACTGGTATTTAGTTACTCAAAAAATACATACGGGCATAGGATGTGGAAATATCTTTTTATAAGTGTATAAAATTTAGCCTTGTAAACAGGAGAGAGTTTTTTGTATATTGTCCTGAAAGAGTGGAAATATAATTTTTTTCTTATATATTCTTCTTGTGTTCAACCTCTCATTTTTCTAGAGTTCTCAATATTTTTTGGTGTCTTACGCATTTAAAATTCCAACAATTGTGTTAATGTACATTATTTTTTTCAACATTTATTTTAATTTGATTTAAAAATAATGATAGCTAACACAACAAATAGTAGGACTAAATGCTATTGATATGCTGTACATAAGCGTGCAGGATTGCCACATGCATCGAATCCATAGGATCCGAGTGATGATCCGCGTGTTCTTGCCAATCTGGAATCTCCACCGTTCATAACTAACAATCCAACGGTCTTAAACCACTTGCGGAAACCTCAAATTTCAAAATTTTCCCCAATTTTGAAATCCGCCAAAACTTTCCCTCCCAATTTTTTCATTCCTCCGCCCCCTCTCTAATCTCTATAAATCACAACGAGAACGATAGCCAAAGTCATAACCCTTCCCGCTTTGGTGAGAACACTCCAGATCTGTAAATCCCTAATCGCCGCAGAAATGGCCCGCACCAAGCAAACAGCCAGGAAATCCACCGGAGGCAAGGCTCCGAGGAAGCAGCTCGCCACCAAGGCCGCCAGGAAGTCCGCCCCCGCCACCGGCGGAGTGAAGAAGCCGCACCGATTCCGGCCCGGAACAGTCGCTCTGCGTGAGATCCGCAAGTACCAGAAGAGCACGGAGCTGTTGATCCGCAAGCTGCCGTTCCAGAGGCTGGTGAGGGAGATCGCCCAGGACTTCAAGACGGATCTCCGGTTCCAGAGCAGCGCTGTTTCCGCGTTGCAGGAGGCTGCGGAGGCTTACCTTGTCGGGCTGTTTGAGGACACGAACATCTGCGCGATTCACGCCAAGAGGGTTACGATTATGCCCAAAGATATGCAGCTTGCCAGGAGGATCAGAGGCGAAAGAGCTTAATTGGTTAATTTTCTCTCTCTCTCTCTCTAGCAGTTTAGATTATCCATCAATCAATGTTTAGCCGGTAGTATTATTGTCTTACATTGTTGTTCGCCTATTGTCTTTGTTGTGTTGCTTGTTTTGGTTTGAAGAAATTAAGGTAGTGTTTGGCAACTAGCATTTCATTTCAAATCATGCATTTCAATTCTAAAATTTGAAATTTTAAATTTCAAATAACAAGGGGTGATGCATAGATTTCAAATTAAGCATTGTTTTGAAGGTAAAGAATTTGGTTCAAATCCAAATTTAAAATGTTTAAGTTTCTCAAACATGGAATTTAAGCCAAATTCGGATTTGAAATCTAAATCCATGTTTCCAAACATACCATAATATGGAATTCTAAATCAGCTAGTAGAAATTTGTTACTGGTTCTATACCAATAATAATTCTTCTATTTTTCCATTTTCTATTTGTTAATTTTGGTTTGTAGACAATCACTTTAGCCGGATTATTTTGTTAACATTGTGAATGCGAACCTGTTCAAGAGAGCTGATTCATGAAAATGCACGCATTGGTGTTGTCACCTAATAATCCCCAAAGTCCAAACTACCGATCGATAAGTATTCAAAAACAAAGTGGAAAAATGGAAGTCATTTTATAAAGTTTTAAGTGTTGGATTTTCACCCATGCCTCTTAATTTGAGAGGGCATGGATGCCATTCCATTATTATTTTTGACATGTGAACTATTTTATGATTAAGCTTATTAATATTACTCCCTCCGTCCTAAAATGTACTTCCCACTCACTTTTTATCCGGTCAAATTTTAATCACTTTCTTTACCTATTTTCATTAGGTATTTGATAAAATAATATAGTCTTGTCATCACTTATTTTGTAGAACTTTTGATGTAGTTTTTAAATATATAAATTTTATTTTTTAATTTTACACCTACAATCAAATAAATTGAATTGAAAATAAAATCGGTCAAACCTCGTAAAATGAATTGGGAAGAATATTATAGGACGGAGGGAGTAATATCTCAATGACCGAGTATGTTTTAATAATTCTAATTTACTATTCATCCTTTTTTCATTGTATTTTTTCTTAAACATACTGTTATTTTTTGTTTGAAAATAACACAAAGTGTTAAATAATTTAAAACTTTTACTACATAGTTCTTTTGATTTTTTTTTTGTTTTCTTTCTTCATCCTTTTTTCATTCTATTTATTCTTGAGCTTACATTATTTTTTCTTTCTGTTATAGACACTCTTGGTCGTTTGTTAGAGATTTTGTAGTATTCATAATACCATATTCTCAATAGACCTTACAATTTTCATTTTTCAAATTTTTCTTGGTAATCTACATGCTAATATTATTTCTCTAAAATTTCACACAAAGCTTGTGATTCCTTTTTTTAGAACAGATAAATATCTAACAAGTAGGCAAGAGCGTAATCTTATACTCCTTCCGTCCACAAATAAACTTTACATTGCGCGTTACGATGTTTGACTGAAGTTATTTTCAAATTATTTTATATGAAAAATGGTGTAGAATTAAAAAATAAAAGTTACATATTAAAAAATTATATCAAAAAATCTACAAAACTAGAGGTGACATGACTATATTATTTTATCAAATAGGTGACGAAAATAGACCAACAAAGTGAATAAAGTTTGACCCTGTGAATAGTAAACGTAAAGTTTGTTTGTGGACGAAAGGAGTATTTTTAAAAGCATAATTCCAAAAATTAAAACTTCTGAAATTTTTTTGAAAAATTACCTCAAATTATCTCACACGGCATTTATTTGTGCAAAATTGATATTTTTTGTAGAAATTCGTCAAATTACGATTAGTTGCTTAACGGCGATCCAAAACTTGCATACATACGAAAATGTGAAATTATTTCACGCGACAGTAAAAAATAATTTGTTTTTATAAGAGCATGAAAAAATTGGATTATTTCAAATACTTTTTATCAAATTATATGGAATATTTTATTTATCTTTTATTTATCTTGGAAACAGCCTCCATACTTCCGAGTAGGCGCAAGGTCTGCGTACACACACCCTCCCCAGACCCTACTGTAGTGGGATGAGTTGTTGTTGTTGTTGTAAAGAAAGAAAACAAAAAATTCAAAAGAACTGGGGAATACAAATTCAAAATTTTTTAATACTTTTTCTTTTCATCAATATAACGCAAACTTAAGAAAAAATAGAATGAATAAGGGATGGAGAATAAGTTAAAATTATCAAAAACATACTCCATAAGTGAGATAGCATAAAATTCAAAAGAACTGGGGAATACAAATTCAAAATTCTTTAATACTTTTTCTTTTCATCAATATAACGCAAACTTAAGAAAAAATAGAATGAATAAAGGATGGAGAATAAGTTAAAATTATCTAAAACATACTCCATAAGTTAAAATTATCTAAAACATACTCCATAATAAGCTTAATCATAAAATAGTCCACATGTCAAAATAATAGTGGGAGGGCATCCATGCCCTCTCAAATTGAGAGGCATGGGAGAAAAACCCAAGAGTGTTTGGTTGTTTCAGAAGAATAAAATTTATGGGGTACTACGGAGTAGAAAATGATTTCTAGACAAATGTAAAGTAAGGTTCCGTTCCGTTCAATTTATTTTTTATGATCTGATTTTAATAAAAATAAGAAAAAATAAGTTGAACAGAACGTAGCCTAAGTTTTATTAGGAGGGAAAAGATTTTAGGTTTTTTTTGGGAAGACTTTTTTCACTATTCCCATACTCCGTCTTTGAAAAAACTCTCTTTTGAGGATTGATAATTTGAAAGTGAATGTAAAAAAAACTCTTTTCTTAATTCCTAAACATTCAATCAAGAGTTGTGCTATTGTTGTCTGAAATTCCACGTATAGAATATATATAGAACTTTCAACTTATTTTACATGAGTTCATACATACGGAGTATTTTGCATGAGTTCATAGTTGGACTCCTTTTTACAAGACCCAACATATTTTATCAATTTGTGTATTAGAATCTATAAATTAGCTATTGACATAACTCACACAAGGATCACAAAAGAATTACCTTCAACTAAATACAAATGTTGGGACAAAGCGGAGTTTCTTAGGGATCTAACACCAAAGTAATACTTTGTATAAAAAATAATTCATCCACTTCAAAATATTTGCCACATTATACAAACCAAAGTAAAATTTTAAGTGTTTTTAGTTCATTTTATTTGAAGATTGGTATATAAATAAAAGTTTATAATTATAAAGTATGTGAAAAATTTAAAACAATAGGTGACAAAAATATTTTATTTAATCAAATAAATAATGTAGCCAAAGATGAGGTTAGAGGGTTTTGGGCGGAGGGTTTTCTTGATGAACTAGTGTAAGTTTTGTGTTACATTGTGTAGTTAGTTGTTTGACTTTAAGAAGATTGTAGTTTATTTGTTGTATGACTCTTAGTTGTGGTGTTTTAGATTAGCTTGTAAATGTTGATATTTTTTTAGGTTTCTAAGTGAACAAGTGATCAATGTAAATATTTACTTTTTTTTATTTGTTTTGTTTAATTTAGTTTTGTGAATCAATTGTTTTAGAGTTCATTCTCAAAACATTTTTCTGTATGTATTAAAATAATCTCCATATGCATTGAGATACTCCCTTATAATCTCATGGAGATTAAGTGGTGCATTCACCATGTAGTAGCTCGCAACATATATACCGTACAACCATTTTGTACGAAGTTTCCCGTACATCCATAACGAGTGCTCATTTTCGAACAAGTGTATACTCATTCTCGAATAACTAAATAATCATTTTTCTAAAATTCAGTTCAAAAATAAATAATTAGTTACTTGAAAACGAGCATTGATGAAGATGTACGGATGGGATAGCTACTCGTAGTGTATCACTCTCTTACTCATTTACACTATGTTTGGTTCAAGGAATTTGAAAGGAAAAAAAAAAGAAAATGAAGTGGAAAACCATTTTTCTTGTTTGGTTAAAGGAGAAAAGAAAGGAAAAGTGGAAGGAAAAGAAAATGATGAGGCAAAATGTACCAAGTAGAGGCAAAATCAAATTCCTTCCATTTTGGTGAGGAAAATGAGAGAAAACTATTTTCTTTTCTTTTCTTTCCAAAATCCTTGAGCCAAACATAGTGTTAATGGCAAAAGATTGTACTCCATATCAACGTAACGTCACTCAAAAATGAACAAAATAATACTCTGTAGAAGAAGTGTAGAACACTAAGCAAACATTGAACAACACAAAAATGAGGATAAAACTAGAAATACAAGTGAGCATAAAAATAGAGAAAAATTCAACACAGCAATCTGAGCAGTATCATCAAAATAAGAGAACAAAGTATACACCCACCCACAAATTCAAAAGAAAAACCTTCGAACATTTCAACACAGCAATGTTCCCGAGCACAAACTTCCCTTAAGAAAAACTATTACAGTAACATAAGTACGTCCGGTGAGTAGAGAGCCATATAATAAAAAATTCGGAAGAAAAAGAAAAAAATCACAACCAGTCACTCACCAACTACAAACACATATACGAAACAGCAAGGCAGAAGAGGCACACTGTTGTAGCATCTCCTCCTGCGATAGCACCAAATGCAACATGTTAACTACATATATTTGAAGCACATACTGAAATATTCTAGGAAAGCAAAAAAAGCGAGAGAGAGAGAGAGAGAGAGAGAGAGAGAGAGAGAAGGAAAAATAGGAACTCACCCTATAGGTAGTAGCAGCAGCAGCCTAGAAGCACTTCCTGTGGACAATTGATGGGCCAGACTCCTCATACTCCCCTTTGGAAATCCACATCTAGCAAAGCCAACAAAGAATCAAAGTTAAAAGATCCAAGAACAAAGCACCGGACATGACTGATAAAAAATAAGTGAGAAAATTAAGACAACTGCAACAAGAGCAATGCTAGGGGTACACCAAAAGGTGTACCCCAAATGTACACCACCTCTTCTCCACCACACATTTTTATTTGATTTTTATTTGCTTATTTTTTTTAAATTTTTTTGCCTTTTTTAGTGGATAAGGAGGGGGTGGGGGACATATGGGGTACACTTTTGGTGTACCCCTAGCATTTTTCTTGCAATAATGGTGTCTCACCTGCTGGAAGGTGCTGAGGGAGGCAAGGATGGATCCACCGATCCAAACACTGTAT